GCTACAAACTGCAGGCAGCAGGATAATAAAAGCCAACATATTCTGCCGGCAGGTTTCTACATTTGAAGTTAATTTAGGCGTTAATAAACAGTCTAAGAGAAGTGATCATAGCGCTCTGCATCAGCAGTGCTGCGTCTGACTCCCTGCCAGCTCCCAGATCAGCTTCTCTCATTGGTCGATGTGGCGCGTCCAGCAGCTAAAATCTATTTTTTCCAACTGAAGCGTTTCACGCGCCTCAGATGCTGAGAAGCATCAAGATGTGCTGCTTCTGCTGCCCAAAGCGCGTCTGGTGTGAACGTACCACTATATCTTTGGAAATATCTGCTACTGAATGAGGAACTTAAGGAATTATTTTGCATTTAGATCTTTTCAGCAGAACCTGAATGTTCCTGAATGTTTTTGAAGTTTTGTTTAATTTGGCTTCACTGTACATCCAGTGCACCATAACTGCATCTATCCATATATATTGTTTTAAAGGGTGAAATATAAGTTTCTATTGTGTAGGATTGTAGCCTAATTTACCAAATAAGCTTGAACTAGCTAACCCTAACCCTGTCCACTCCAATCATCCAAGATGGTTGTCTTTATGGGTGTGGCCTAACTCATGACAGCTTATTTCATCTCTGGCTAGCACACTAGGTCTTCATTGTGGAAACAATAGAAAGCCTGATTTATGATTCTTCCCCTCCTGCAGACTCTGAGAACCCAGCCGTGACGCTGTCAGCCCTGCTAGCCAGCCTCAACAGCTGCTGCAACCCCTGGATCTACATGATCTTCAGCGGCCACCTGCTCTCCGACTTTTTTGGCCTTCTGCCGTGTTGCTACCGGCTGCGGGACAGGTTGCGGCAGCAGGACTCGGACAGCAGCATCCGTCGGACCACCCTGCTGTCCCGCCTGCAGGGTCCGCGTCTGTCAGAGCCTTTCAGGGAACTCAACTACACCATCAAAAACTGCCCACAAGCCACGCCCGCATCATGACCCTCAATAAACCGGCCTGTTAGGGGAAGAACCGCCCGGGATGCTGGGTTTGGTGCAGTCTAAACGGGGAGCGTTTACCCCATGGCACAGAAAAGTATTCATCGTACTATAATTATGTTTGAGGCTTAAACAGCAGTTTAATTTATCATTTAGAAAAAATATGACCACCTGAAAGGATCATTTTGATTTTATGCTCATTTTAGGACCATGACTCTTTATTTACTTGGAGAATTTGGATTTAAGGACAACAAGAAGAAAAAAAAACACAATTTCTGATAGGATTGATGCAATTTTTTAATCTCTTTATTCATATTTTTAATTTGAAATATTAATTTTGAGTTAAATCATAATTAATTATCTATTTGCTGTTCAATTTGCATTTATTCCAAATAATCTGGATTACCTAATCTGGATTTCTGAAACCCCAAAGATACTTTAAAGGTCAATTAACAGAGATGGCAAAAGTACTCACTTTCCGTACTTGAGTAAAAGTACAGATACTTGTGTTAAAAAATACTC